GCGGGTCAGTGAAAAAGAGGAAGGCCTTCCATGAAAGGATTGGCCGAGAGGCAGCAGCAATGGGCTCAGATGTAACAGCGGTTGTGAGGATGGCACAGGATCAGGCAGTGTTTGGTCTGATGTACATGGGGTTACTAGGATTTGAGCCAACTTAACAGCACCTGTGTGGTGCTGTAGGATCAACACTGGACCACAAGGTCAGTTTGAACTGCAAGCTCAGTGGTTCAAACTCACCAGCCACTCCTCAGAAACCCTGTACAGGGTCGCTATGAGTCAGAAACAAGTCAACAACACTTAACAACAATAATAATGCACATAGAAGGCCTTGACAATCTTATTTTCCTTCTACTTATCCTATTCCTTCCTTTGAAAAAATTTGTTTCAAAATTTCCTCTAGACACAGCAAATTGCCCCTATTTAAAACCTTCTTGTGAAAATATTTCAGACCAATTTCCTGGACTCTGAATTACCTTAGAGAAGCCCCTGGTGATGCAGTGGTTAAAGCACTAATCTACTAAACAAAGTCAATGGTTCAAACCCACTGGTCTGTTTCCATAAAGATTAAAGCCTTGGAAGCCCTATGGGCCCATTCTGCTCTATGCTATAAGATTGCTATGAGTTGGAATCAACTCAAGGGCAGTGGATTTATTTGTTTGTTTGATTGATTTTTGTTTGAATGCCATCAAGATAAATATGCTTGCAATGAAAGCTGCTATTAGCTCACAGGATAATAGGGCACAGACCCAAATGGAGCAGAAACCATCTTAAACACATGGAAAACATTTCTTCTCCATAGGACCTGATGTGAGAGTGTTTCTAAAGGCTCAAGTGGCATCACGGTCCCTCTGAAGAACAGAGGGACAGATGGAGCCCCAGGATAAAACATGCAGCGCAGATTCATAATCATAAAAGAGGGCGTCTGGCTGCCCACTCCATGGAAAAAGCACTAGGCTAAGAGTCAGAGGCTTTTGAATGGATTTGTAACCTGTGATTGCATGCATTTCCCCGTCTGTAAAATGCAGGGGTTTGAAACAACAGTCTCTTCTAGTGAGTATTATACTCGCTGGTAGAGTAGTGCTTACGAATTGGGCTGCGAATCGCAGGGTCAGCAGTTCGAAACTACCAGCTGTTCCACGGGAGAAAGATGAGGCTTTCTGCTCCCGTAAAGATTTACAGCCTCGGAAACCCTGTACAGGGTCGCTATGAGTCAGCACCGACTCTACAGCACATAACCACCACCACCATTGTGCTCTTTCAGAGATTCATCTAGATGGGACCAGACTGACTGCAGCAGCTCCTGGGATTGGCCCGGAGGTTTGGGGGATAGTGACTTCGCATTGATGGCAGTGGAATGATTTGGAAAAGTATCATGAGAATCGTTGTGCAACATGAGTGTACAGACTGTCAGTGATTTGTGCATGTACAATTTATTGACACAGTACACCCTGTGTTGTGTATATTTTCACACATAAACGAATAGTTAAGTGTCACTGAGTTGGTGACCCTATATAAGGTTTCCAAGGAGCCACTGTTGGATTTGAACCACTGATCTTGTGGATAGTAGTCCACACCAGGACTACATATATATATGTAGGAGTCCTGGTGTGGCACAGTAGAATAAACACCATACCTCAAGGTCAGTTTGAATGACAAAGTTGGTGGCTCCTCCTCGGAAGCCCTATACAGGGTCACTGTGAATCAGAACCGACTCAATGGCACCTATCAACAACAATACATAAAACAAAGGCGGAAATTTGGATAGACGTCTTGAGACTCTCTTAGTCTGATCCATGCCAAAACCCATGTGATGCTGTAGGATAAGCACTGGACTACTAACCACAAGGTCAGTGGTTCAAATGCAGCAGCTGCTCCTTAGAAACCCTATACAGGGTTGCTATGAGTCAGAACAGATTCCACAGCATTTAACAGCAACAGCATGGGACAAAATCACAATCCCAGGAGATACAGTCCAAACATCTGAAATACAGTTTATTGAGACAGAGCAAAGTACAGTACTTTTTACAACACATTAGAAAAACTCAAGTTATACAACTATCACATTCACAAATACAAATCACTTTTTGTTCTGAGGTACACAGAGCACATGGGGAAAGGGACAGAGTGCTGACATCTCTGCGAGGAGATGCAGAACCTAGTGGATCAATGGTGTGGCTCCTCCCTCAAAGAAGGGTCCTCAGAAAAGGGACAGTGTCTCTACCTTTTGCCCACCACCCCATCAGCAGCACACACACACTTAGAGGAATGAAATTGTCCCCATGCGTTTGAGAGCCGGACAAACTCTGTATCCACTGGCTATTGTCATTCTGGCTCATAGAATTTCTATGGCATCATTATGAAGCAACTTCTAGAAAACAAAGACAAGCATAGTCCCATTGACACAGGATTTATCTGCCCTGGAAAATCAATTTGGGGATCTCTGTGGTTCAAAACAGAGCCATGGTGGCACTGTGGGTTAGGCATTGGGCTGCTAACCACAGAGTTGATGATTCAAACCCATCAGCCGCACTGCGAGAGAAAGATGAGGCTACTGATCCCATAAAGTCTTGGAAAGACTGCGTAGAGTCGCTATGAGTCAGAATCAACTCAATGGCAGTTCCTAGGTGACTCAAACAGGTAAGCGCTTGACTAGGAGCCCAAAGGTTGGTAGTTCAAACTCACCTAGAGGTGTCAGAAGACAGCTCTGTCATTCTACTCCTAGAAGGTCACAGCAATTCTACTTTACATATGTGGGGTCATGAGGAGTCAGATTTGAGGGCAATTAACAATCACTTTTTTACCCACTGTTCAGAAGATGATTATTAAAAGCTTGGTAACATAAAAACTTCCAAAGATCCTCATAAGCAGAATAGTATAATGTGCCCTCATATACCCTAAACCAGGGAAGCAAATGATGTGACTTTGTTCAGCTGCAACTAACAGCCAAGAAATCGGAGTGACCTTGGATAAACCTCCTCTGTGAAACTCAGTTTGTTGTACAGCTCTATATTCACGTTTCACTGACATACTCTAGCTGATGGTACAAGGAATCCTAAAACTAGTATGAGGGTAGCAAGTATTTATTGCTGTTGGTAAGTGCCATCAAGTCGGTTTCAACTCACAGTGACCTGTATAGTGTTGCCAAGGAAAGACTGGTGGGTTTGAACTGCCGACCTTGTAGTTAGCAGTACAGTGCTTATCCTACAGCAGCACACCAGGACTCCAGCAAACATTTAGAGCTGGCAAAATAAGCTCGAGTCTGCCTGCCTACATGTCCCTTCTGGATGACACACTGAGTCACTCAGGACCAGATGGAAGGTGATGGAAATATTCGGTCCCTGGAATATGATCTTGCTGGTAAATGGGTTCTTGAGGAATATCATGATTCCATAGGTTTCTGTAAGTAGACCCTGGCAGCCCAGACGCCATTGTGATATTCATAGTGAATCTTCACTCAGGAACTGGCTTGAAGAAGCCTTTTTATTTAGACAACACAGAGAAATGTCCTGTCTAGACAGCTTGGGAGCGTAAGGTGTCTAAACACAATTATTTCCAGCATGTTGGAAGTCTGCTCTCTCATCTTCTGAGAGAGCAGAACAATTTTTCACCACCTCTTGTTTCTGAATGATTGCGGCAGAGAAGAAAGTATGCCTTCTGCCTGAATTTTGTTCTCCAGATCAATAAGATGGCTGCTTTCCTCGGAGAGGCCCATCAGCCAGGCCCCTGGGTCCAAGATGGGGCCGGTTCTGGCCATGAAGGGAAAATCCTCAACTCACAAGTACTCCACTACGTACCTGTTTCTTGTGCATCACTGCAATCTAAATAGAAAAATCTACATCAGAAAAGATATAACAGTCAGAAGAAACTAGAACACACACACATGCACACACCCACAAACTTATGCTGTACACAAGTGATGGTGATGGTAATGTGCTGTCAGGTCAGTTCTGACTCACAGTGACCATGTGTAGCGTTTCCAAGGCTGTAAACCTTTACGGGAGCAGAAAGGCATCGCTTTCTCCTTAGGAGTGACTGGTAGGTTCAAACTGCTGACCTTTCGGTTAGCACCCAGCTCATAATCCACTCTAATACCAGGGCTCCTTTCTACACAGGTAGACACAAAAAATGCAGGTAAACCTAGAGACTGTGAACAGACTTTAACAGAAGTTGGCAGGATTTGGGGTGACTTTTTTTTTTTTTAAGTTCTTTTTTGAATTTCCCAAAGTTTTCTAATTATTTCTTTCAGTATGCAAATACGACAATTCTTCTTTAAGGTGTCCCATTTGGACCTTTCTTGGCCACTACAGGATTGTGATTTATCCTGGTCCAACTACTTTAGGAAGCAAAGCATGGAATCCTGCTTCTGAGCTCTGGTAGTGTAGTGGTTACAAATTGGGCTGCTAACCTCAGGGTCAGCAGTTCAAAATTACCAGCTGTTCCATAGGAGAAAGATGAGGCTTTCTGCTCCCGTAAAGATTTACAGCCTCGGAAACCCTGTACAGGGTCGCTATGACTCCACGGCACATAATAACAACAACTCTGGCTTGCTAACCTTTCCCTGGCCTAAGAATCTTTTCAAAGTATATCTGGGCAGCACACCAATAACCCTACCTCACTGCTATGATGAGGTTCCTCCAACTGAGCAGTGGGGAAAGTTGTACATCAGCAGGGAAGTTAGAACAGTGACTGACTTAGCACCCATCTGAGCTGAAGTTGTCCTCAGCTCTCTTGCTCATGGGCCCAGGGTGATACAGCATCTCTTAGGTAGGAATTCATAATTATGTGTCTAGTTGGTAGTTGCTTATAGTTTTGATATCAGATGGGGCTGGGAAGCTGAGCAGAGTATCGTAGAAACTCAAGAATTCTACAGCTTTTGTGTGAACTTGTTTCCAGTACTGTTGAGGTTGTGTGTGAGAAGGAAGGCTAGCTCCTCAGGCTCTTTTCTAACCTCAGCTGGAGCTAGATCTACCCCTACTGCCAACCCCACCTCTTCCCAACCTCCTCTAACTCATTGCCACAATGGGCTCCACAGATGACAGATCTGTTTTCCCAGACTGGAGGTGAGAGGCGGGTGGGAGGTTATTAGCTAGTGGCCCCCTCCGGCCGCTGCTCCTTTCTGTCCACGCCATCCTGAAAGAAGGAACAGGGGAGGGCGGCCTGTCCTCCTGAGGCTTGGGAAGCCTTTGGCAAATGCTCACTAATGCCTTCAGCTCAACCCTGAAGTTTTCGTTGAGCCAGCAGTAGATGAAAGGGTTGTAGCAGGTGCTGCTCATGGCAAACCAGTGGAAGGCAAAGTAGATGGCGTTGTTAGTGCGTATGACCTTGCTGGACAGGAGAAGGACATAGCAGTTGAGGGGGAACCAACAGAGGGCAAAAAGAACCACCACCAGCATCAGCATCTTGATGGTCTTCTTCTTCTTGCGTCGCAGGGCAAGGTACTGCTCTGTGGTCACATCACCAATTGTGTTGCAGAGCCACAGCTTCTTGGCCACTCGGGCATAGGCCACCGAGATGATGAGAAGGGGCAGGATGTAAAGCAGGATGAAGGTGGCCAAGTCCAGGTACTTCCAGAAGAGGTCAGCTGGCTCAGGGAAGTCTGGCAGACACAGGGAACGGACAATGTCCTCACTAGGAGAAAGACACAAAGTTATGAGTGTGGAAAAGGGCTCATCCCTACAAGCACTGACTCTCCCTTCACTAGACCCTTGGCATATCTCTCTGCTATAGCACTTTTTATTCTATAGTCTAATTATCTGATTATATTACAATTATTGTTTCCTCCATTAGATTGGGAGTTCTATGAAGGCAAAAAATATACTTGTATTCTCTTCACATTGTATCATTTCTAGTCCTTAGTAATTACTCCTGTTGAGTCAACTCCAACTCATGTGGACATTATGGTGATATTGACAGTGAGTCTTCATTCAGTCCTACACCATCCCCCAAACAGGGTCTGAATTCATAGGGTATTCATTGCTGTAAGCAGGCAGACCTTTGTTCCTTGTCTGTCTTAGTCTGAAAGGTCCATTGAAACCTATTCAGCATCATAGCTACACACAAGTCTCCCCTGACAGGCAGGTACTGTCTGTTAATGAGGTGCATGGCTGGGACTTGAACCTGGGTCTTCCTCATGTTACATGGAGACAGTCATTTAGGTACTGGGGACATGGTAGTAACAAAATCAGAAATAGGGCCAGCTCTCCCCAAACTTAAAGTTTAGCTGAGAAGATTGCCTTTAATGTACTGGTAGTACACATGTGGGCTTAAATTTTTTAAACTGAGTGCTTTGAGAGAAAGAATTCTCATTCTAGGAAAGCATGATAATAAAGAAACCGGAACTGGAGCGGAGGGTGGAGAGGTAGAAAGTCCTGCCTCAAACACGCACACACATGCATGGTTCTGTGTAGGTTGTTTGTGAAAGAATTTAAACTAGGGCTGCGGGAATCAGTTTATCCTAGACATAAGACCTATAAGAATCACCTGGGAATTTGTCCAAATGTAGATTCTGATTTACTGTGTCTGGGGTGAAATGGTAAAGTCTCCATAGAGTGTTAAATCCCAATAAACCAATTTGAAGCTCTGCTTTAAACATTGCTCTTTTTCATCAGGCCTTGGTGGTTTCAAATCTCGGTTTGTGAATACATGCCCCCTAGTGACAGAAACTGATAACTGTTTTTTGCCCTCTCAGTAAAACAGGAAAGAGAATAAAGAAGCTAAAACTGTTTTTTGTTTTGTTTTGTTTTTGGGGGTAGGGGCGTCAGTGGCAAAATAGGATAAAGCACCAGACAATAAAGTCTGCTTGAATCACAAGGTCAGCAGTTCAAACTCACCAGCTGCTCCTTGGAAACATTATAGAGTCTCTATGAGTCGTAGTCAACTTGATGACACTTAACAACAACAAATGTGGGAGATTGTGGTTTGATTCTCAGCCAACGGACCACGTGTGCAGCCACCCACACCTCTATCAGTGGAGGCCTGAGTGTTGGTTGCTACGATGCTGACCAGCTTTCAGCAGTATCCAGACTAGCACAGAATAGGAAGAAAGATCTTAGAAACCCTATGGGCCACAATGGTCCAATGCCAAACACATCTTGGGGATAGTGCTGAAACAGACAGTGTTTCATTCCAGTGTGCTGTTGCCATGAGTCAGGGACTAACTCCAAAACAGTTAACAGCAACCATGTTGTTGAGAAGGGCCAAGTCACAGGATGGCAAAGACACAAAGGGAACAAACACATCAGTGACTACCACCTTGTTGATTCAGAGGGGACTTAGCTGTCCCCTTTGTCCACATCCCACCCGGTGCCTGATGCTTGGTCCAGGAGAACACAGGAAGTCAGCCTCTAAAAGTCCTCTCAAAGTCCCCAGCTCCTCCCTACTGGGTAACTGGACCTCACCTGTACTTGAAGGTAAATAATTTCTGGCAGATGGCATGTGGGAGTGAAAAGAATGTAGCCATGGTCCAGATGACAGCAATGTAGATGATGCCTTTTGTGATTGAGATTCGAGGTTTTAGTGGATGCATAATGACCTGGAACATAAGCAAACCATCATTAGCTGAAGACGGAACTTACTGGTCACTGCCCAGTAAGTGAACCTCCTTACAAACAGAACTTACATTCATCAATGGGCCCCTGAGTTGCACTGAGCAACTGCACCCCACAGCCTTTCTCCAGGGGACAGAAAGAGGATGTCATCTGGGCTCATACACACCCGGCAGTTTAAATGCCTTATTATTATTATTTGCACTTTAAAAAATATTTATATGACTTTTAAAATATCATTTTTATATTGGAAAAAACAGAACATACTCAGAACTTTCTACATGTACAATTCAGTGATCTTGATTATATTCTTGCAGTTGTGCAAGCATTTCCAGCCTCCTTTTCTGAATTGTGCCTCCCCTATTAATCTAAATTCACTGCCCCTACATCTTCCTATCTAAGTTTTCTGAGTTGCTGTTGTCAGCTTGATACCATACATTGTTGGATTGGTTAAGTGCTGTCAAGTCGGTTCTGACTCATGGCGACCCTATATAGGGTTTCCCAGGAGCACCTGGTGAGTTTGAATGGCCGATCTTGTGGTTTGAAGTCCAGCGCCGATCCTACTGTGCCACACCAGGAATCCTTCATCCCACATAGATCATTCTTTAAAACCACAATGCTCAAGGTAGACATGTTTTACTATTAAGCTTAAGTACTGTTTGGTTTCAAGAAGATTTTCAGTAATATATTTTGATTTAAGGTTTGAAGACAATCTCAGGGCAATAGTTTCAGGGGTTCACTCAGCTTGCATGGCTCCAGAATGTCTAGAATCTATGAGGATCAAATGCCTTCTGCCAGTCATATGAGGCAGAGCCAGGGTGCAAGAGAGGACCTGGAGGAGTCAGCCTGGATGGCATTCACACCAATGCCAGCAGAGAGATACACTCACCCTGGGATCTGAGTTTGTCTTCCCCAAAACCTAGCTCACTGAGGTTCTGAAGGGCTTTGAGAGTGACAGACATGGAGAGAGGACTCTCGTCACTTATCCTGGGAAGCTGCACTGACTCTTACTTGGATAGTCACATTGTTCATGAGAGCCATGCTTAAAACTGCAACAAAGCCCAGCCGCAGCACACTTATGATAAAGTTGGCTTCAGGTTGAAAGTCGTCTTGGAATGGCTACTGCATGTCAATCAATTCTCCCAGGAGGTTTCAATAAAGACTTGGGAATTTTTTAAAAGCACTCTCATTTTAAGATTAGAATCTTTCTGTCTTTCTCTTGCTATTTTATTTTTGTTGCTGTTGCAAAAAATATACACAAGCAGAATGACATGCCAATTCAATAATTTCTACATGTACAATTCAGTGATGTTGATTATATGCTTCAAATTGTGCAACTACACCATTTTACTGACAAGTCATTCCACTCCCATTAATATAAACTAACTGCCCGTAAACTTCCTGTCTAACCTCCATAGATACTATCGTCAATCTGAACTGAAATGGTTTTTTAAATGAGCACAATGCTCAAGCAGACATTCTTGATTAATTAAGCTAAACTATTGTTTGGTTTAAAGAGGACTTCGGATATATTTTTGGTTTAAGGTTTAAAGATAATTTCAGAGCAATCGTTTGGGGAGTTCACTCAGCCTCAATGTCTCTAGAGAGTCTAGATTCAATGAGAACTTGAAATTCTGTTCTACATTTTGATCAGAATTCTTCTATAGAATCTTTTATCAAAATTGAACTACATGTTTGAATCTCCACCTTTGTAACCTGCTGTTCATTGGCCCTTGTTGCACTTTGTGGAGCTACTCAGAATAAATCCCATCTCTCTGTGCCAATGGCCTTATAGTAACGGCTTGTAGGCACCCTTGAATCTGCTCAAGGCTGGTGGCCTAATGTTCAGAGCCTGGGTTTAGAGTCAAACTCAAACAGACCTCAGTCCTAATCCAGCGTCATTGTTCATGAAGTATATGATCTGGGGAAGTTGTTCGGAACCTCTCCATTCCATAGTTTAATGGAGGCCTGAGTATGCAACCTAGGTTCGCTGTATTAGCAGGTGCAAGGTATGGAACCAACTCCTCCAGGACAAGCACCTCCGTGTCCTCCTCTGTTCTCAATAGGCCAGTCCAGGTGTTTCCAGAACAATGGGACAGCAAGCAGGGGCTATCTGACCTTGAGTTCTGCTGTCCCACACCCCACCACCCACTCCTGTCACCTGGACACCCAAGCCTGCCTTCCTCCTCGACAGCCTGGACCAGTGATCAATCACTTCACCTCGTGTTCAGGAGCCTGTCTCTGAACTGCAATTATTTGCCTCTCTTTCCATTAATGATTTTCCATATTTGATTTTCTGCTCCCCAAACCAGCTCATCTATTTCTGAGACTGAAAATGCAAGCAGTGAATCTATGACATCAAAAATCTTTGCTGGAACAACAAATGGGGAAGAATTTTGACAACACCGACAACAGACGGTGTACTCTCTCCAATCTAAGTACTCGTATTGACAAAACACACTCATTTAAAAAAAGAAAAAAGGCTACAACTCTGTTGTAAAACTCTTTGCCCTGGAAAGCAAAGCCAGAGCAGGAAGGCTAGATCATTGAGGTAAGTACCCTCACCTGGTGACGGTCCACAGCAATGGCTGTCAGTGTTAGTGCTGAGACGTGCAGGGAGCAGTACTGGGCGAAGCGGCTGACATGGCACATGCCCTTCCCAAACACCCACGTGCTGTTCACAAAGCGGACCTGGAGAGGAGCCCACAAAGGTCAGGAGACACCTGTCCTTGACCCTGATACCAGCCCCCAGTGGAAGGCTTCCCCACCCCCAGGGTTCTAGTCCAAGGCCTCCCTTCTCCCTTCTTCTCTATACCACTGAAACACGGGTTATGTGTGACCATCTCCAACACTTCTCACTCTCCATTCATTCCATTCAACAACCTCTGATCATGCTCGTAGGACTGGGCTCTGTGTTGGGTGTCAGGAGATCTTGGGAAGGATGTGTGCTTTGGAGTCAGACCCCTTATTTTGAATAAGGTGCACTCTCAGGCAAGGTAGGTAACCTCTATGAACTTTAAAAAAAAAAAGATCTAAAAATCTGTACTTTATAGACTTACGATGTAAGGACTGAATTTTGTCTGTGAAGGGGTGAAGGGTGGGATACAGTGGCTGGTAGATTGTTAGAAACCTGTTGCTAGAGATAAATGGTGTGGCACTGTGAGTTAATGCTCCGGACTGCAAAGTTGGTTTGAAATGCAATGTCAGGAGTTCAAACTCACCAGCTCCTCCTATGAAGTCCTATACAGGGTTGCTATGGGTCAGAACTGACTCGACGGCACTTTACAACAGCAACAGGTTTTTCTGGGTTCTAAGAATGTTCATTCTTGACCTACATGAATGGACTTCAGACGAATGGGGAAGACATTCTGAAAACTCACAACACAGTATGTGGTCTGAGATAGCAAATCTTGGGTAAAGTAGACGTTGGAACTCACCATCTGGTAAGGAGATCCAGGGTTCTAGAGAGATGTGTGTGGGGGCAGGAGAGGCAGAGGAATTTTCTCCAGTGGGGAGAGAGAACAGGTTCACAGGATGGTGTGGGTCCCCAGGAGCAGGCTGCAGTCTCATCCCACACACCCAGGGATGTTCACTCACTTGATTAGTATTTGAGCAGCCTCTCCAAGCAATGTCCCATGCCTGACAAAAATGGAACATGGATCTTGACCAAAGAGTTTCCAGTTTACACAAAGGAGGGCTCAAGTAACCCATATATAAGACAGAAAATAAGTAGTGCCCTCTAGAAGGCCCAGACCGAGGAGAATGAGGCCATGAGGTGGGAGTGAAGGTGGCCAGAGGCAGGGAGAGAGAGATAATGAAGAAAGACCCAGAAAAGTCAGTCAAACAGAAAGAACAGTGCTGTGGTTTACAGTGTCTTTTTGCTACTTATAGGTGTTACCTTGGGCAAGTATTTAGATCCTCAGGGCCTTACTTTCAAGGAGCCCTGGTGACATAGTGGATTAAGTGTTAAGCTAACCAAAAGGTCAGCAGTTCGAACCCATCAGCAGATCCAAGGTAGAAAGATGAGGCTGTATGTTCTTGTAATAAAGATTTACAGTCTCAAGGATCCTCCTACTTTGCTGGTGGGACTGTAAAATGATACAACCACTGTGGAAAACGTTACATAACGCTTCCTCAAACAGTCAGAAATGGAAATACCGTGTTGTTGTTGTTGTTGTTGTTGTTAGGTGCCATCGAGTTAGTACCGACTCATAGCAACCCTATGCACAACAGAATGAAACATTGCCCGGTCCTGGGCCAACCTCACAATTGTTGCCACACTCAAGCCCACTGATGCTTCCTGTTTGCCAATCATCTCGCTGTAGGGCTTCCTCTTTTTTTTCTGACCCTCCACCTAACCAAACCTTATATCCTTCTCCAGCGACTGGTCCCTCCTGACAATATGTCTGAAGTATGAGAGATGAAGTTTGGCCATCTTGGCCTCCAAGGATTAACTCTGGCTATACTTCTTCCAAAACAGATCTATTGGTTCTTTCAGCACTTTCAATATTCTTATCCAACACCATAACTCAAAAGCATCAATTCTTCTACAGTCTTCCTTATTCACTGTTCAGCTTTCACATGCATATGAGGTTATTGATTGAAAATACCATGGCTCTTGGGTCAGGCACACCTTAGTCCTCAAGCTGACATCTTTGCTCTTCAACACTTTAAAAAGTTCTTGTACAGCACATTTGCCTAATGCAATACATTGTTTGATTTCTTGACTGTTGCTTCCATGAGTGTTGATAGTTGATCCAAGAAAAATGAAGTCCTTGACAACTTCAATGTTTTCTCCATTGATAAGAATGTTGTTTATTGGTCCAGTGGTAAGGATTTTTGTATTCTTGACATTGAAATGCAATCCATACCAAAGGCTGTGCTCTTTGATCTTCATCAGTAAATATTTTAAGTTCTTCTCACTTTCAGCAAGCAAGAGTGTGTCATCTGCATATCTCAGATTGTTAATGAGTCGTCTTCCAATCCTGAGGCCATATAGCTTCATATAACCCAAGTTGAATAAGTATGGTAAAAGAATACAACCCTGTTGCACACCTTTCTTAATTTTAAACCATTCAGTGTTCCCATTTTCAAACAACTTCCTCTTGGTCCATGTATACAGAGTGTACCACCACTTGTCTGTCAGTTTGTCATACTGTGGTAGCTTGTTACGATTCTGGAAGCTATGCCACCGGTATTTTTAATTACCAGCAGGGTCACCCATGGTGGACAGGTTTCAGATGAGCTTCAAGCTTCCAGATGAAGCAATACCGTACGACCCAGCAATTGCTCTACTTGGCATGTATTCAAAAGAGTTAAGAACCATGACCCAAATGGATGTATGAACACCCATGTTCATCTCGGCACTATTCACAATAGCAAAAAGATGGAGACAGCCTAAATGTCCATCAATGGAAGAATGGATAGACAAACTTTGGCACATACACACAGTGGAATACTATGCAATGTGGAGTAACAATGAATCTGTGTAATACCTCATAGCATGGGTAAGCCTGGAAGTCATTACGCTGAATGAAATTAGTCAAATATTGTATGAGACTACTATTGTAAAAAATCAAGAAAAGGTTTTCATGCTAAAAGAAACATTATTTGATGGCTACCAGGGGTGGAATGGAAGGTGAATAATTCACTGGCTAGAGAATAGACACATGTTAACTCAGCTGATGAGGAAGGCAATATACAAGAGGGTGGTTTCCAGAAGAATGATCAAGGTACTGTAGATATCTTGATAGATGAAGATAGGTGAAGACACAGGGAGGGATGTAAAGATTAAAGGAGCTAGAAGTAAGTACTATTAAATACACAACCCTGCAACAGCAGTGTTCTAAGGGTAGATAAATGGACAGATACATAGGTTGAATGGGTATTGGAAGGAGAGTGGGAGTGTATGCACAAATATATAAAGGTTTGACAGAGGATATTTGTATATGAATATTTCCCTTTACCTCAAACATACCTATGAATGTGGTGGAACATACAAGGAGGTGAGTTATGAAAACTTCTTAGACATTACCAAATACCTTGAGGCAATGAATTGCTGGGCCTGAGAGGTCAGGACCATAGTATTGGGGAACGCAATGGTCAATTGGCATAACATAGTCTATAAAGACAATGCTTTATAACCTACTTTGGTGAGGAGCGACTGGAATCTGAAAAGCTCATGAGTGGCTGTCTAAAGTGCAATTATTGGTCTCTCCATGTGCGAACAAAAGAAGAGTGATGAAAACTGAAGATGCTTGGAATCAGCTAGTCCAATGTACTAATGCATCACATGTACACCAGTCTCCACAATTCTGAGACCAGAAGAACTAGATGGTTTCTAGCTATCACTACCAGCTACTCTAAAAGGGATCACATTAGAAGATCCCAGATAGAATGGTAGAAAACATGGAACAAAACTCAAAATTATTTTAAAAGACCTGGCTTATTGGCCAGAAATATACTGGAGGAGCCTATAATTATAGCCCTTGACCACACTTCAGATCTGGAACAGAATTCATCCTTGTGGTCCAATTTTCAGTCACGCAGTAGATAGTTACATGGGGAGGACAACAACACTAGTAAGGCATTTGTTGTTGTTGGGTGCCATTGAGTCAGCTTCAATTTACAGTGACCCTACGCACAACAGAAGGAAACACTAGTCAGTCTTGTGCCAATCTCATAATGTTTTCTATGCTTGAGCCCGTTTTTGCTGCCACTGAGCCAATCCATCTATTGAGGCTCTTTCTCTGTTTCGCTGACCTGCCACTTTACCAAGCATGATGTCCTTCTCCAGGAACTGGTTCTTCTTGATAAAATATCTGAATTATGAGAGATTAATTCTCATTATCATGGTTTCTAAGGAGCATTAGGGCTATACTTTTTCCAACACAGACTGATTTGTTCTTTTGGCAGTCCATTATACTTTTAATATTACCCATAACTCAAAATGCTTTAGTTCTTTTGTGCTTTTCTTTATTCACAATCCAACTTTCACATGCATATGAGGTTATTGAAAATACCATGGCTTGAGTAAGGCGAATCTTAGTCCTCAAACTAATATCTTTGCTCTTGAACACTTTAAAGCGGTCCTTTGCTGAATATTTGCCTAATGCAACACATCATTTGATTTCTTGACTGCTGCTTCCGTGAGTGTTGATGGTTGAGCTGAGCAAAATGAAGTCTTTGACAACTTCAATCTTTTCTCCATCTATGTCTGTTATTTACTGGTCTGGTGTTGAGGATTTTTGTTTTCTTTACATTGAGGTGCAACCTATACCGATGGCTGTGGTCTTTGATCTTTGTCATTAAGTATTTTAGTAAGGTATGTTCACCATGGAATGCTCAACCATTCAAGATCAAAAGAGCAATATTTACCTAAGGACAAACTTCAGAAGGGATGAGAAAGAGTGGAATGGAAATGAGAATCACAGGGAGGAAGTGAGATTACTGTTGGTACATGGAGGGGATTCCAATCATTTGACGAAACAAAGTGTGTGATTTGTTGAATCAGTTTTACAATATTATCTGCTCTGTAAACCTTTACTGTATTCATAATGAAAGTTTCAAAAAGAGACTCGAAGTCTTGGAAACTCTAAGGAGCAATTCTACTCTGTCCTGTGGGGTCACTGAGTGGGAATTGGCTCAATGGCAGTGGGTACAGCCCACACTTTCCTCATATGTAAAATGGAGTTCAACTTTTTCACACAGTTCTTATAAAATCAAACAAGATCAATAACACATGTAAAGTAGTACAACAGTGTATAGTGCAGAGTGGGTACCTAACATTGTCATAACCTATGAGAGCTCTAAGATCAACTTTTAATAATAGGTAGGATTTGCACAGGTGGAGAAAAGAACAAAGGGCATTTGCACTGGATAAGGAATCTCAGGACCTGTTGGGGAAATTGGTTTGTGAGAATTTGGCCAGAGCATGTGGATGAGAGTGGTAAATGTCCAATCTGGCCACATCATGAAATTAGGACAGTGGACTCTCTTTGGGGGAAAACATTGAAGTCCAGTAATAGTATAGAGCCAGGAACCATCAGCTGTTCCTACTTCTCACCTCTCACCATCAGTCAATTGCCAGATCCAACCAGCTCTGCCTCTCAGTGGTTTTCAATCCCAAATCGATGCTCTTTGCTGAATCCACCCTCATCTCACCTGGACTACTCCAGACTCCTAACATCTTTCCCTGCTTTCCAATCTTGTCTTTTTTAATTTTGCATTGCTGACGGCATTTTTTTTTTAACCAAAAATCTGATTATTGTTACCATCCAGCTCAGAATTTTCAGGGACTCCCTGTAGCTCTCAGATCAAAGCCAGCTACTTTACCAGAGTGTCTAGGCCCATTCACAACCTGGGCCCAGCCTTCCTTTCTGGTATCCTTCCCAGTTTTCTTTCCCTTTACCCTACTCCTTCACTGTGTTTCAGCTTTCTCTACTCCAATTATTGAACCATTCAACATTCCCTCAACACACCATGAATTTCAATGTTTCCTTGACTGGACTCTTCCTGGTCATCTGCACTGACTTCCTGGTCTACACTGAGTACTTAGTTTGACCTGGGACCTTTCTACATCCAGATTGTGAGGATGGTGCAGGACCAGGCAGTGTGTTTGTTCTGTTGTACATATAGGGTAGCTATGAGTTGGAACTGACTCAACAGCAACGAACAACAACAACAGGCCCAGCTGGCATGGCATGTCCTTTGTATGCTCTCCTTTGACCCTCTCATGGAACTCTTGCAGATCAAGATACCTGACTCCTTCTCCAGGTTCCACCAGCCTTGTGTATACCTCTATCATAGGAACTATAAGTAACTGCTTTTCTCTCGATGGTCAGAACAGGACTTCATGCTGGTTATCATGTGTAAAGTGGATAGGAAGGGGGACAAGGGTGGAAGGATATTATCACAAACCAAGTTGAAGGCAGGACACCTTACCCAATCTGAGAACCTGAGCAAGCTGAGAGATTAGGAGACCCTTCCTCTCCCATACCCCCTAGTTGCCAGCATTTTGCATGCCCTAATGGGGTTTTGACTGGGGCAGATGTTTGGGCCAAGTTCCAAGTCCAAGATGCTTTAGATCATCTTGTTGAGGATGCTAGGTTCTCAAGGACTATAGGATCCCTTCTCTCAGTAGAGTTCCTCTGTGACAGGGGTTGCTAGCTCTTTGCTGCAGCCTGGCCTTGGATCCGTGAGTTCTTTCTCCAGCCCCTATGCCCCACTTGTGATTGCTGCAGAGCTAACTGTGTTCCCTGACTTTGTAGTCACACAAAATCCAGGAGTCTTACTGTTGTTTTCCTGGATTAACCAGCCCAACTTTGGAGATTCTCAGATCAGAAACCAATGGGGGAGTCAATGGGAACCAGAAATATGGACCTTCAGTGCTCTGAGATAGTGAGGGGATATGGGGTATTTGTCTTTGGTTGTGGCCCAGAGGATCCTGAGTACCATGAATAGGATGGACATAGACTAGGAAGAAAGCAAGAAAGTTTTATGATTTGGAGCAGTGGAAACTAAACATGGTCCAAGGTTATCCACCCCTTAGCTGGAAATTTAAACAGACTTCTGGACTTGAGTCAAGGACTGTAAATGTAGTCCTAACTCTGCCCATTGATGCCAATTAGACTGCTTTGTGCCTTTGTTTCCTCATTTGAGAATGTGAATAATCTTCTCAGAGGTGAGAAAAAGAGAGGAATGTGAGAGTACTTCTTAAATTCAGGGTATGGAAGGACATTTACACAGGTGGATGGACTTGTGGGCACTTTGGGGCCTTCCTGATCTTTGTCTGCTATTTCCGATTATGTAAGAAAGAGGGAGAGGTGAACAGATACTGCTTTGGCAATAACTCAAATGACAGTACAATTATTCTAGAAGTGAAAAACAATAACTTGGGCTTCAGAAACATGAGGTATTATAATTGGCATTATAATTCCCCAATCAAAGCCTTCAAAGACATACAAGGTTCCTTGAGAACCTCAGAGAGGCAGAAAGTATACAACTGCTGCAGCAGGTTTGGGGAGGAAGTCCATTTACCACCAGTGTACAAGTACCCCTGCCCACCCCCACTCAGCAGGCAGGCCCATCTCACTCTATCTCTTCCCCAACACACACCTCATATACAACTTCACTGTCACCCCACAGATGGCAAATGCAATTTAAAGATGCTGTCCAGGAAAATGTACATAAGGATCAATTGTTTGCTATTCCAGCTGTGACACTAAGCAGCATCCCATGGGATAGGGGAATGGTGAAAAGGCTTCACTCTGAGGAGAAGGGCTAACCTAGAAATCTCTGTAGACATTCCAAGGGATTGGATTTACTATTCAATTATCAAACACACCCAGACCCATTGGGAGGACAGAAAAATGGGAATTCATTCATAGTTGATTGGGGTACTCTAATCACTGACCCAGTGCTGTTAACTGTACCAAGCAACTTTGCATGAAAAGGTGCGGGGAGAGAGAAAAGAGGTGGAAAAACATCAAGCACAGAAGAGTCATAAAGAGGTGAGGAGAGGAGCAGAGACACACCAAGACAGAGAGTCACACAGGAGACAAGACAGAGCCGAAGGACAGAGAGACTTCAGAAAGAGAAAGAAAAGAGAAGAGGGGCAGAAGGAGAGTGAAGATACAGAGATACTACTAGAGACAGACAAACAGTAGAACTGAAAAATGAGAAATTAGAGATAAGAGAAAAGAGACTAAGATTAAGAGAGAGTAATAGACAAAGGAGAAAGAAAAACACTCAGACACAGGAATGGTGGATGGGGGTGGAGCGACAAGAAAGATAAAGAGAGAGATGCAGAAGAAAGACAGAGAATAACAGAGACAGAAAGACAGAGACTGGGAGAGAAACAGAAATCTGAGGCAAAAAAGGAGCGACAGTTGAGAGACTAAGACAGCCACCGAGCAGGAGCCAGGGACAGCCAGCTCAGCTGGTGCAAGGCGAGCCGCCCTCATCTCACCAAAGTGAAGGGGGTGTTGAGGAGCGTGATCAGGATGTCCGCAACGGCCAGGTTGACGATGAAGAGGCTGGTGGCCGAATGCATTCTCTGGTTCTTGAAAATGACATGACAAACCAGAACGTTCCCAAAGAGCGAGAAGACGATGATGAAGGAGTAAGCCACGATGAGCAGGGCTTTCACCGTGGGGTTCTGGGACTCAGCCCCGTACCGCCTCCTGCCCACAAAGTTCTGCCAGTCGGAGAAGGTGTAGTTGTTCCAGGAGAAGAAGTGCGAGGCGTTGGGCGCAGCCAGCACCGCCTCCAAGCTCTGGTTGTCCCCGCGGCCCTCCGGGTGCTCAGTGGCTTGCACCGAGCGCAGGAGGAAGAGCAGCAAGAAGTGAGGGAGCATTTTTCAGGGGCCACTCCTCCCCGGGATCCTGTAGTCCGGACCCCGCCTCAAGGCCCCGTGGGCAGCCAGGTGTAGGGAGAAGGGGCCACCCGGCTGTCCAAAGGAGGGGAACCTTCCCGACTGAGTGAAGCGCGCTTCTCAGTCTCCAGGGCTCAGCCGGCTGCCACCAGCCCTCGATTGACACACTCAGGTTTTGTTTCAGCACTTTTATATCTCTGCTCCCACCAGGCTGCTAACAGCGCCTCTGCCTATTGGGTAGCGCAGCGTCTCTCCCAGCGACGGTGACGCGGCGCTCTGCCTGCCTCGGATCAGCCTCGTCTTCCACCCTGCCTGGATGGCGCGCTGCTCTCCCACCTTTAACCTGCTCCCACCATAGAAATAAAACTCCCATAGGTCTGCAAAGACTGTTTCAGGATAAGTCGTTCGTTCTTTTGGTTGCTGCTTGTCACTTTGTTATTGTAAAGGGGACAGGTGGACAAACTCATGGGGACGATTGGGATTATGTGGGGTCATACTGCAAAAACTGGGTCTGCCTGCTTCAGGAAGCTCCTGCCACACTGATGATTACTTCTTGGTTCTATCTGAGCTTTAGCCCTAGCACAATTTCAATATTGAGGCGGATCACTGAGTCCTTGAGTTTTGGGGAACAAGGCGTTTAAACCATGAAATACTTAAGAGATGGTAGGTTTCTCCACTCCTCTTTAGTACACAGATTGCAGAGGTGTCTGAGAGCTTCCAGAGGATTCTGTTTGCTGCTATTTATTTAAGGAATCCTTGTGTGGCGCTGTAGGATAAGCACTGGACTGCTAGCTACAAGGCTGGTTCAAACCAACCAGTCACTCCTTAGAAAACCTATATGGGTTCACTATGAATCAGAAGGAACTCAGCACATAGCAACAATAAATTTATTAAAGGTTTACAATTTCTCTGACAACTCCAGAAACACAGTGGGGGAGGGAGAGCTTTGTTTTTCAAGGAAATTCTTTAAAACTCAGTTCTGACAGAATCAAAGGTTAAAAAGCAGATTAGGAATTTAGCTTTCTGCATTCACACTTTTTGGGTGGCAGCCAGCTTTCTGCCACTAAAGTTGTTGAAGTTGTAAAGGATAATGCATCCATGCTGTTTACAGTTCTCCGTATACTTCTCCTGAAGATCTTGCCATCTCTCTGACCTGTCCCTCTTTCCTGCCACCCTCCACTTGTCCCTGTGGTTAAGACTCTGGGATTAGGATTAAATACCAGCTTTGTCTCTTCCCGACTGTGAAATCTTAGGCATGTTAGCTAATTTTTCTGATCTGGTTAGAAGCTTTCCTTTTCCTAAAAATCCAGTCCCTGTCTGGATTTCCAACTACAATTCTCTAATGCAAGGTATGCAAACTTTGGCAAACTACTACAAGTAACTCTCAACCCCTGGTCTACTGGTAAATAACAAATTGATGTTGTTAAGTGCTGTCAAGTCAGTTAGGACTCAATGGAACAAAAAGCTGCCGGAACCTGAGCTATCCTCACAACAGTGGTTACACTTAAGCCCATTGCTGCTGCCACTCTGCCACTCCATCTCATTGGGGTCTTCCTCTTTTTCACTGTACCGAGCATGAAGTCCTTCTCCAGGGACTGGTCCTTCCTGACAACATTCCCAAAGTATGAGAGACAAAGTCTAGCCATCTGCCTACTGAGGAGCATTCGGGCTGTATTTCTTCGAATACAGATTTGTTTGCTCTCCCGGTGTTCCATGGTACTTTCAATATTCTTCTCCAACTCCATAACTCAAACACATCAATTCTACAGTCTTCCTTATTCATTGTCCAACTTTCACATGCATATGAGGCTATTGAAAATATCATGACTTGGTTCAGGAGCACCTTAGTCCTCAAACTGACATTTTTGCTCTTGAACTTTGAAGAGATCTTGTGTGGCAGATTTGCCTAATATAATATGCCATTTGATTTCTTGACTGCTGCTTCCATGAGCTGTTGACTGTGCATCCAAGCAAAACTTCAATCTTTTCTCTATTTATAATGATGCTATTTATTGGTCCAGTGGTAAGGATTTTTCTTTTCTTTACACTGAGGTGCAATCCATACTGAAGGCTGTGGTCTTTGATCTTTCATTTCTTGTTCACCATGTCTACCTTGTAGGTGTGAAGGTATTCATGCCTGATGCCTATAAATTTCTATGTGAAATAGGTGAAGTAGATTTCCCTGGGAGCATACTGTGAGACAAAGATTCTTGATTTGTTTGGGAGGTGAAAGAAAACATCAGTAGGGGAGTGGAGAAGTGAAACAAGGAAGGGAACCCAGTTGCCATTAAGTCCACCTTAACTCTTGCGGATCAGAGTAGAACCGGTTTTCAATGGCTAACATTTTGGGAAACAGATGGCCAGACCTTCTTCAGAGGTGTCTCTGTGTGGACTGGAGCAACCATTCTTTTAGTTAGCAGCTGAGAGTGCTAACCATTTGCACCAGAAGGCAGCCAGTAAAAGGTGTGATGTCAAGCCAGATACCACTATGGTTGACTGGAACTTAATCCTACTGGGAAAACCAGTGTAAAATGTACACCTTGGCTGTCCAAACCATCATGTGAGGGAGCTGGAATATGCATATACTAATCTCTGGCAATTATTGGTTGAAGGCTGCTCTCAGGGGTATGTTAATTCTCCTGCCAAGTAAGCAACTAAAATGGGTTCTGGAGGCAAGAGAAAGCCCTCAGGCAAATAAATTCAATTGGAACATGGATTGGTGTGTTCTGATGGAGAAAGGGGCACTGACAGAATCAAAGATTAGGCATGAAGTCTAGAATCCCTTCTTCCTCTTCCACAGTATTCATTTCACCCCTTGATCACAAAATGTTCCTAACCCAGCACCATTACATCACCATTACATCCAACTTATTCTGAGCTGCTGAAACAATCTAGCTTAGTGAAACAAGAACACATACTCATACATCTCACCCCACACTGTTGTTGTTGTTGTCAGTAAGTGCCTGTCAAGTTGGTTCCGACTCATAGCAAGCCTGCAAAGGATTTCCAAGGAGCAGCTGGTAGGTTTGAACTGCCAGCCTTGTGGTTTACAGTCATTTCTACATCTCTAGTAATAGTTACTTGTATTAAATATATGAAAGAACAGAAAGTTTACTATTTAAGTCTTTCAAATAGGCTTGAAATAAAAAAGAAAATTTGTATATCACTTTACAAGTATTTTAATAAAACTAAGAAAAGAATCATAGGAGAATGATAATATCATATAGAGGTTACAGAAAAAAGTATTTCTAAGATCCTCACCACATCAGTATTCATGATACCATAAGCAATTGCCCATTGAACACAAATATTGTTTCTGAAAAGGTCCTATCCTATGTGTGGTAAAAATTCACCACTCATAGAAGTCCTCTCTGGTGCAAACCAAAATGACAAGAAAAGAAAAAGCAATTACCACAGTGCCAAGCATGGGACACAAAGCTTGTTTGCTTTAATGGCACAAGTTGGATGTTATCATAATTGAGTTACAATTACACCAAATGTAGCTAAAACTAAGCTCAAATGGAAAAACACAAGAACACAAAGTGTGTGGGCATGCTTAGCCTGGAATTGGTTTCCAAGTTCAGGTGCATTTGAACCATAGGGTTAAATGGTATATGTGAAATAAATAAAGAACAACAAACAAGGAGGTATACCCATGCCCCCAACTTACAAACACTTTGTGCATCTAAACTCAATTATAAGCTATTTCAAACTATTCTGCATTTTTACACAGAAAGTTTTGTAAATGGTAGATTAGGTTTTGAGCCAACTCATAACAGGCCATTTAATCCATAATATAGGTAAATTGTAGCATTAGTTGTACTAAAAGACTACTAGTTGAACTATTGATTTTCCCAGTATACCATCTTCCATTATCTATCTTTTTACTTTTGTTGTTGGTAAGTGTCATCAAGTTGGTTCTGACTCATAGTGACCCTGTGTAGGGTTTCTAAGGAGCAGCTGGTGGGTTTGAATTCCAACCTTTCAGTTAGCAGTCCAGTGTTCTTGTTGTTGTTGTTGTTATTGCTGTTAAGTGCCGTCGAGTCAGTTCCAACTCATAGCGACCCTGCACAGGGTTTCCGAGGAGTCACCGGTGGGTTTGAACTGCTAACCTTGCGTTTTTCAGTCTAGTGCTGATCCTACAGTGCCACACCAGTTATTAACTGTTGTTAAATAGACTCTCGGACTCATAGTGACCTATGTACAACTGAACATAACATTGCCTGGTCTGATGTCATACTCCCATTCACCAGCATGTTTGAATACATCATTGTAGTTATTGGACCAATTATCTTATGGGTGTCTCTAGTGACTCTGTTGGTCTTCTACTTCCTCCTCCAACATCTGATGTCTGATGTGATCCACAGGGTCTTTATGGGCTAATTTTCAGTCTGTCTTTATTCCTAGTCTGTGTTAGTCTGTAAACTCTACTGAAACCTGTCCACCAAAAAGCACCCTGCTGATATTTGAAATCTCAGAGGCATAACTTTTAGCAGCACAGCAACCCCCAAGCCACTGCAGTACAACAAACTGACAGATATGTAGAAGTTCAGTATCTGTTAGTCTGGAGTCAGATGTCTCAGATGAGTGAGCTCACTGGTTCAATTATCACCCATCTGTGATTCCAAAATCTGTATCTCTAGTTTCTACTTCTCTTGAAAACTCCCTTTCAATGCATGTCACTATCTACTGGATATTTTCACCAGGAAGTCCCACATACGCTTTAAATTTACCACACTCTAAACTAAACTCATTATAGTCCACTCTTTTCTCATGTCCTTATACTTGCTTTTGTTCTTGCTCAGCATGGTTAAAATCTTGGAGTTGTCACACATCCCCACTGATTTCATGATGGTATGTATTTGAACAATTCTCTGACTTGAATAATCCTCCCAACATCCCCCCCCCACACACAAACACACACACATCCAGAAAAACTTTTCAAGACCCACCTCAAATGTCTCCCTTGTGAAGACTTCCTG